TTTTCAAACATTTTTTTAAAAAGCAGAACCCATTTTTCCTAGAACTTCGATGTGTCAATCAGTTTCATAGGGAAGAAATGGCACAGAGAGGTTAAGAGAGAAGAGTGTAATAAATGGACTATTTACAATGATGCAGCAGGGTTTAGAGAAATCAAAAGGGGGCTGATAAACACCTGTGGTGTGATCACTGGAGGAAGGCTGCGGTTGACCAGCTGATTTTCAGGACCTGGAGTGAGCACTTGCTGACCAGCTGTTGTCTACAAGCGTGTGGGCTGGCTTTGATCTGCCTGCTTTCAGAAGACAGGAGTGAGGCTGCTGTCGACTAGCTGATTTGCAGAAGCATGGCCCCTGGAGTGATGTTGTCATTGATTCATTTTCAGAGCTTATGAATTTATCTTGGGTTATCCTAAATCAACTGGGGTTACTTATTCACAACTTGGAGCTTTGGCTAAAAATAGTCTTTACCTTTCTTGAATATGAACATAAGTACTTTTTATTTCCTTAGTCCCTCCTTTTGGTCTTTCCTTAGTCAAACCTGTAGCAAAGACGGTAAGGGATTGTGCAGATGTTTACTTATGGAGGCATGATTTTCAGCTGGTGTTGTCATTTAAGTGATTTCAGCACCAAATACTGTGAAGAAAAAACTAGCTCTAATAGCCAAATTTTTATAGTTTATTATATATAAATTTATACACCATGTAAATTTACAATTTTTATAATTTGAAAAAAGGCTGAATACAAAATATTGAGGGCATTCTGACAAAGTCAATACAGGATGCAGGACAAACCATAAAGTACAGGAAAGAAGCAAGTGGTTTTCCTTCCCGTATGATGTTTTAAAATAAGATTTGAATTTCCAAGGCACAATTTAAAATGGCTATAATGTTACCTCTTGCAATCTTGACAAGAACATATGTATTTGACTTTTTAAAGCAATTTTTAAACTGAAGATAAGGGTTAAAAGATCAGATAAAAACCATGAAAGTGGCTATTATATACACCATCATGTTAGAGATGACCAAGTGGGTCACCCAAGAAGAGAACTTAGCAGGAAGTAGGAAAACAATACCATCAGTCTTCACACTACTGCACAGATGAGAGCTATAAACAAGACGACTTAGATAAAAACAGCACAACAAATATGACATAGGAGTCACTGACACGGTATGATGAGATTTCTGATTGGAATACACACAAATGAGAAGGGAGGTGTGGGGACATATACGGGGATGATACACACCAGCCATGAAATTCAGGACACCCAAAGTAAAATGCACTGTGGAAAATATTGGGCAAAGAAGAGAGAAAAAACTAGGATACATTTTATGAAACGTATGAAAATACATTACAGAATTCCAGGCCAGTGAGATAAAAACAGATTTCGGCACACAGCTCATGGCCTGGCATAAGTTGCTGAATACATAAACTTTTAATTAAGAGAGCATGAAACCAGGAAACATAAAATTCAGTAGTGATAGAGAGCTTTCACTGTCCAAACATCTCTTCCCCCCCCC